AACCCAGAAAAAAATCAGGGGTAGCAATCTTATTTGCAGACAAAGTAATTTCAAACCAAAACTACTTAAGAGAGACAAAGACGGTGAGTACATCCTTGTAAAGGGAACAATCCAACAGGAAGAGATGACAATCCTAAATATATATGCACCAAATACGAATGCCCCCAACTATACAAAACAAATATTAATGGACGTGAAAAACTACATAAGCACTAAAACAATTATAGTGGGGAACCTCAATACCCCACTATCACAAATAGACAGATCATCTAGATAAAAAATTAACAATGAAATTCTAGAACTGAACCAAGCTATTGAACAAATGAACTTCATAGATGTTTACAAAGTGTTCCACCCCACAAAATCAGAATACAGAATTGTTTTCGGCTGCACACGGGTCATTCTCCAAAATAGACCACATGATAGGTAATAAAACATGTCTAAATAAATGTAAAAGAATTGAAGTGAACCCCTGTATATTATCAGACCATAATGCAATAAAATTGGAGTTCAACAACATAAGAAACCGCAAAATTCCCCCACACACATGGAAATTGAATAACACCCTCCTGAACAACCAATGGATCACAGAGGAAATTAAAGAAGAAATTAGACAGTTTCCACAAGTACATGATAACACCAGTACAACATACAGGAATCTATGGGACACAATGAAAGCAGTCCTACATGGGAAATTCATAGCAGGGAATGCCCACATTAGGAAAGCAGAGAGAACTAAAATAACCTAATGCAGAAGCTCAAGCTCATAGAAAAAGAAGAGCATAAAAAACCCAAAGCTCGTGCAAGAGAGGAAATTATAAAGATCAGAGCGGAAGTCACTGCAATGGAGAGTAAGAGAATGATACAAAAAATTAATGAATCAAAGAGTTGGTTTTCCAAAACAATAAATAAAATGGATAAACATTTAGGCAACCTGAACAAAAAAGGAAAGAAAAGGCTCAAGTCCATGCCATTAAGAATGAAAAGGGGGAAGTCACAACAGACCCAGCAGAAATCAGAGGATCATCAGTACCTACTTCGAGAACCTGTACTCTAATAAAATTGAAAACACAGAAGACATGGACACATTCCTAGATACATACAAATTGCCAAAGTTAAATGAAGAAGATATAGAAATTCTAAACACCCCAATTACAATCAGTGAAATTGAAAATGTAATAAAAAATTTACCAACAAAGAAAAGCTCAAGT